ATATGGACCGGGAGCTTCAGAAGCTCGAGGTTGTTATCCAGGAACAGGCGAGGGAAGTGAAGAGTGTACAGAAAGTGACTAACAAGCTGGCAGGTGCAGTAGGTAGTTTGGCCAACCAGGCAGAACTGGTTATGGGACGGAACCGCAATGTGGTTATAAAAGGCATCCCTGGACCATTCTGTAGAGCTACTTAACATAGAGTAAGGGAACTTCGGCAAAGAGTTGTCGACCTAATGAAGGTAGGTATCCCTGCTCATGCTCTGGTAAAGAGGGTGCTGCAGCTGGGAAGGTGGAAGAACGAGGATGACAACGGATTAGCGAATGGAAGACTGGCTCTTGTTGAATTTGGTAACCCAAGATACAGGGATATGTTCTTGGCAGCTTCAGTCAAGATCCACGCTAGCACGAATTCCCGGGTAAGGATAGAACCGGACAATTTGATGCGGAAGAACAGCGCGGGCAGCACAAGTATTACAGGCAGCAGACCATCCTCCCCGACAGATGCGGGGAAGTGTCTGCATCAGGGACTAGCATCACCTGTGATATGCGTGACAAAGAATGTCTTAAACCAGGTAGCTGTGACCACTTTCTAAACAGAACCTCTACCAGTACACCGATTCAGCTTCAAAACTGTATCTGTGGAACACATTCCATCTTGGTACATACTCTTAGAAGTATTGTGACCACTTATTCATTACCATAACTATTCGTCACCTTGTTTTCGCTTGAGTTATTTGAAGAAACCTCGTGGCACATGCAAACCAGATAGCTGTGACCAATTTCTGAACCAAACCTCTATCACTACACCGATTCAGCTTCAAAACTGTATCTGTGGAACACATTCTACCTTGATACATAAACCTAGACCACTTATTCATCAGGATAACTATTCTTCACTTCGATGTCGCCTGAGTGATTATGCCAAACTTCGTGGTCCACCTCCCTGCATGCCTGTCGGTTTTATAATCGTTTTTACGTGTACTTACCTAGCTGTACATATAAAAGTATACAAACAGGCTTATACCATCCCAATTATTCCACTTTGCCCATTGATTTGTGACATGCTGTCTCTTCCCTTATCCCTTCTCAGCTGGGTATTACCCTGGACTGTTCAGTATGACTCTTGTTCCAGATACGGTTGGCTTGGACCTGTCAAAGGCTTGGGGTTTAAACCCACAGTGGAAAATTTTGGCCCTGGCGGTGGATGCTGGGCATGGCTGCTTTGACGGTTTTGTCTGCATGCGTCCGCATCCCGGCAAACGTATGAATTCGCTGTACTCCCTCCTATTTATTCATATCCTTGTGACTCCCTTTTCCTCGTCTACTGTCTGACATTTGTTCTCTCCGTATCTTCTCCCATGAGAGCCGAACTCCGTTTCCCCCACGATAACGGTGTAACAGTTACTTCAATTTCAATTAATATTATTGTACAGCACATTCCTTCATCCTCCACATCAACGTTTGTGACCTCGTCTGCTTTGTGTTCCGTTTACACAGCGTTTTAGTTCTGCTCCCCTACCATATCTAGTATGTACGTCTTCCAATTATTTTATCCATCTACCTGTACTGACGTTGTACATATGATTATTTTGAACATATGATCGTGCCTTGTGCATGCTTCGCGGGTTTCGTGAAATATACATTATCATCATTATCATTAACACCAAACCTACAATGCTCATCGCCAGGCTGCACCACACCGTGGAACACAGTGGTCGAGGAGGGCGTAAGTTGCTGCGTCATCAACTGTGAAACGCAGAAGGATGAAGAACAAAAAACGGGGTCAGCATTCGAGTGTGAAGCTCGACTGCGCAATCCCTCTGTTACGGCAGCTGATGCACCGTAGTTAAAACAAGGTTTTCTATTCTTCTTCTTTATTACTGTTTGTTTTCCGTCATTTCCACTCTTTGCTGTTTGTAACTTCCTGTTTGTTTAAACGTTCCAACATAACGTTTTCGACGTTCGACCCGGGACATATTGCTTGGTCAGCTCGGTTGAGCTTGGTGTACATTTTCGTTCGGTTGTTTCCTGCGTTCTGCTTGGGTGAGCATACATCCAAGTATGTTTTTTCCTATTTGTACAATTTATTATAATGTGTTTTAGATACCGTATAAACATCGTGGTCTACCTTCTGTATTTGTGTTCTCATTGCTCGTTCGCGTCGGATTCGGTTACTTGGGATCGTTCGTTATCGGGTTGAATACGTTCGTTCCAGTGCGGAATTTATTGTCGACAGCGTGTGCGAATTTGTTCATTCCAGTTGAGGAGTGATTGTTATTCCAAAGTTCAGGCCCGTTTGTGCTAGATCGTGATGTTGGTGTAGTTTAATACGCGTATTGGACTTACGAGCTCAAGCGGACGCAACAGTATTTTGATTGGCTCAGGGTTTGTCTACCGATCAGTTGAAAGTTGTTTACAATATTTGGATTGGTGCCAAGCAAACATTTCTGTGTTTATACCCTCGTTGCCTATCCGATTGCCCTCTTGCAGTCGTGACTGTGGTCATGCTGTAACATTTGTTTGGTTTCAGGTGAATTCGCTCGCGGTGCGCAATTACTGTTGTGCTTTATTTCTTCTTGTTTATTTGTGCTATGGATCCATCCAGTCACGATTCTTCAGAGTACGAGTCTTAGGCTCATGCTGCCGGTGGACCTCCCACTGGATAGTCTGATTATTGCTGCCCAGACTATGACAATGTTGATGTTCATAGTGATGTCAGGGTAGAGCTGGAAAGCGCCCAACTGGAGTTAGAGGCAGCAGAGTCCATGCGTAGGGCGGCAGCAGCCAAACCTAGGGCTGTTGAGAGGTTACGCCATAAAGACAGGACAGACGTTATCGAAACTATTCGGTTACCTTATAATATAGACAGTGTCGGTCCAAGAGATCACGGGCCTTATTCAGATAGCCTTACATCTGAGAACGTTGGTAATAAGGCTGTAGATTTGGGGGTTAAACCTAGACTAACTGATGGCTCAGAACAGAAATTGGGCAGGATCGATCTCTTAGTTAACCAACTTGAACTGCCTAGGTGTGAGATCCCTTATTTTGATGGATCACCCACACAGTACATTCAATTCTTCAGGCAGTTCGATGACCGTATCGCAAGTCGGGTATCTGACGAAGGCCAGAAGCTCACATACCTTTACCATTATTTTCAAGGGAAGGCCAGGGAGGCTATTCAAGGCTGTTTATTATATCCTACTACCGAGGGTTACAAACGAGCTAGAAAGGTATTAGAAGAACTCTTTGGCCAGAGACATGTGTTAGTAAGAGCCTTATTAGATGGTGTCACCAGACATGGATTAGTGCAACCGAATGCCGATGAGCTGTCCGCGTATTTCGACAAACTTGTTAACTGTGTGGGTGCGTTGGAACAACCGGGTTATGTCGCCGATTTAAATCCGGTCACTACGATTGAGCGGGTTCTAGCTAAATTGCCACGCTTCATGACGATCGAATGGGTTAGGCGAGCCGAAGAAATATATCAAGTTAACCGTGAACCATCGTTCCGTGACTTGTGTGATTTCGTTTCTGCTAAAGCCCGACTGCAGCGAAATCGCTACAGTTATTTATTGCAAGATCGTCGATCTCTGACTGACACTAACAACCGAGTTGTTACGCAAAGGAAAACCTTTGCATTTGTGTCCAACAGTAGGGCATGTGTCATGTGCGGACTAAACCACTTTGTAGACGATTGTCAAGAGTTTCAAAAATTGTCTGCACAAGAGCGTTGGTTGATGGTTTCTAAACACAGGCTGTTTTAGGTATCTCCGACCAGGGCATCGGGTTGAGAAGTGTTTATCAAAAACTAGATGCGAGCAAAAGGGCTGTCTCCGTGTACATCACGAGTTGCTGCACCAAGAGAAAGAGATGCCGAGAGTTTATAACGCTTCGTGTCAACTGCTTTTTAATGGCTATGGAGTGAGTTTGGGAATTATTCCAGTAATTATCGAGGGCCCTACTGGGTCTTCGATAACTAACGCCCTGTTAGACACAGGAGCCGACACTTCCCTGATACGAGCGGACCTAGCAGATCAATTAGGTCTAAAGGGTAAACCAGGGGACATTTTTATGAACACGCTGTTAGTGAATACCCGCAAAAGCTGTTCCAGTTTAACCTTTAGAGTAAAGTCATTGGATGGTGCCGAAGAAATAGACATCCAGAAGGCATACACTGTCGCGTCTGTACTTGAGAGTCCTGTCTTGAAACCAGGTGCTGGAACGCTTTCTAGATGGAGTCACCTAAAGGGAGTCAACTTTCCCATAACGAGCTGTCCAATAGTTGGTGTGCTGATTGGTTTGAATGTGCCCGAAGCACATTGGATACTGGAACAAAGACGAGAAAAGAAAGGAGACCCATACGCAGATCGTACTCCGTTAGGTTGGGTCTTTAGGGGACCGGCAGATTGCAGTCACAACGGTGGTGTGCGTATGTGTGCTGTACACGGACTGAAGAAAACTAGGGAGGATATCTGCCGGCTTTACAATCGAGAATTTACCGAATGTGTCTCAAGTGACTTGTCTCAGTCAGCTGAAGACGCACGCGCAGTTGTCATTGCGGATAAGTCTGTACGAGAAGTGGAGGGACATTTATGTGTAGCATTGCCGTGGAGAGACGATAAGCTGCAAGGAGTGTGTAATAAACCGGCGGCACTGAGGCGTTTAGTTTCTTTGGGTCGAAAGTTTCAAGTTGACCAAGGCATGCGAGATAAATATTCTGCGGTTATCGGCAGATATTTGGAAAGGGGCTATGCAGAAAAGGTAGAGACGGGAGGTGATGACACTGGNTGACACTGGCTTCAAGTGGTATCTACCACATCATGCTGTTCTGAATCCTAAGAAGCCGGATAAATTAAGGGTTTTATTTGATTGTGCAGCGATTTATTCAGGGGAGTCCTTGAAAATGCATTTGCTCCAAGGACCGAACATCGTGTCCAGTCTAGTCGGAGTCCTGCTTCGCTTTCGTCAGAAGCTTATTGCCGTTACAGTGGATATTGAGGATGTTTTTACAGGTCAAAATTCCGGAATCGGATCAGATTGCTCTCAAATTTCTTTGGTGGTCTGAGGGTAACCCAGCTCAACTAGGTGAGGAGTACTGCATGACGGTTCACCCTTTCGGAGCGGTCTCTTCGTCATTTTGTGCGAGTTTTGCTTTGAGGAAAACAGCCAACTTATACGGCCACGATTACCCTTCCTCGATAACCGATGCAGTTCAAAGCGGTTTTTATGTGGACGACTTGTTGTTGTCTGTCGATGATCAAATCGAAGCACGCAGCACAATCAGTAGCCTAACACAACTGTTAGGTCGTGCTGGGTTCAAACTGACCAAGTGGGCTAGTAACCAGCGAGAGGTTTTGACTCAGATTCCTTCTGACGAAAGGAATGTTTTGGTTAAGGAATTGTCTGACGGTACGCTTCCTACGGAAAAGGCCCTCGGTCTGGCTTGGGACATGGAGGGTGATTCATTCATCTACCAGTTTGAAATGAAGGAGTGTCCGGTCACGCGAAGACTGTTGTTGTCGCGTTTGTCAGCTATCTATGACCCACTCGGGTAGATTGGCCCATTCACATTACCTTTAAAGTTATGGTTCCAAGATCAGTGTAGAAAAGGAGTGGGTTGGGATGAATTAGTAGAGAGTGAAGAGCACAGATGGCGGCATTGTTGTGCCATTTTATAAATGCTAAATAGTATTAAGTTGCCCAGATGGTATCTTTATGGAACTTCAGAGACAGATCACGAGGTGGAGCTCCATGTGTTCAGTGACGCATCGGAAAAGGGCTATGGGGCTGTTGCGTACTTTCGCTTCATCGGTGAACAGGAATCGTCTCGAGTTATCGGCCGCGGTGTTGGCTACTCAGTTATCTAGATCCATACAAAAGGAAATAGAAATATCGCTACGACAAGTGTGTTATTGGTCGGACTCAGCATCCGCCTTATATTATAGTAAAAATGATAAAAGCCGCTTTTCGACATTCGTCTCTAATCGCGTAGCTAAGATCAAAGAAGTTTCTATTCCGGAACAGTGGCGACACGTGCCAGGGAAGGATAATCCTGCGGACTTAGTCTCACGAGGTATGACGCATCAAGAAAAAGACCAGATCTTATGGTTGCAGGGGCCACAATTTCTAAGTCAACTGGGCATGACTGACTATGAAACGGATACATGCCCCGATCCCTCAAACGAATTCTTAGAAGTATGGAAGGAAAGAGTAATTGCATCAGTTGTTAACGTTGCTTATACACGTTATTTCGAGAGGTTCTCCTCGTGGTTGCCACTGATAAAGTCGGTGGCCTAGATTTTGAGGTTCAAACAATATCTACTCATCCTTGGTAGGGGCTCTCTTGGTAGGCTCTTTAACATTGTCGGAACTAAGAAGCAGTCGTGATGCTATTGTTAGTCTAGTACAAGCGGAGTGCTTTCCCCGGGAACTAAGCGTGCTACGTGGTGAAACCAAAGATAGCCAGCGAATGTCTACAAATAGCGCACTAAAACGATTGAATCCCATTCTTATTGATGGGTTCTTATGTGTTGGGGGTCGTCTATAATGGTCCGATATGTCAGAGGCCCTTAAAAATCCTGTAATCCTTCCTGCCAAGCATCATATCACACATTTGATAATTAGATATCATCATGAGTTCGATGGTCATGTAGGTTGCAATCAAGTCTTTGGAGGAGTTTCTGGGTACTAAAGGGCAGGGCCGCCGTTCGACGTGTCATTGGAAGATGTATGCAATGCCGAAGGTATCAGGCGCATCCTGGCTGTCAGCAAATGGCACCTTTACCTTTAGAACGGGTTATTCATGATGGACATGCCTTTGTGCATGTAGGAGTGGACTTCTTTGGT